CAAACAGTGCAACACAGTACAACAGTCACTTCTCATAGACCAACCAAGTGATTACATCATTCAAGTGATGTCACCTATGTTGTATTAACAATAAAAATTACAACAAAACATCACTTGAACACTTGAGAATTATTCAAACACTTCAAGCGTCTGACAATAAAGCACTCAACTCTCAAGTGCATCAAGAACAAAGTTGTGATGACTCAAACGGTCATCACTTGTTTTAAATTAAACTCTATGACTCCGAGGCCTTGAAAACCTCATTTAGAGTCACCTCGATTTGTGTGCGGAGTCCCAGGCTACCTCGATTTGTGTGCGGACGCCGGAATCGAATTTTTGAGGTCCCAAGCCCGAGAAATGAATTTTTAAAGGAAATTGTTTTCTGAAATTGTTTAAGGAAATTTGATTAGAACGTGTTGGTATCGGGCCCGTATTTTGGTATCGGCGCCCGGTACAGGTCTTATATATGATTTAAGATGTTTCTGTAAAATTTGGTGAAAAACGGACGTCGTTTGACGTGATTCGGACCTAAATTGGAAAATGTGATGCTTTAAGAAGTTTGAAAGAATTCATGGATTTTGAGGTTTAATTCGATGTTTATGATGTTATTTTGGCAATTTGATCACACGAATAAGTCCGTAGGATGTTTTTGAGGTTGTGTGTATATTTGGTTTGGAGCTCCGAGGGCTCGGGTGAGTTTTGGATAGGCCACGGGTGCATTTTGAACTTTGAAAAAAATAGCTGGTGTGTTCTGATCTGCAGGCTTCGCATTTGCGAAGCCAGTCTTGCAAATGCGAGAGTTAGCCTGGGCAGCCTTCTTCGCAAATGCGAAGTAGCCGTCTCAAATGCGATGCCCGCCTAAATCCTTTGTGATCGCAAATGCGACTATTGCTTCGCAAATGCGAAAGTTTGAGATTTCTGAAGGGTTCGCAAATGCGAACCCTGTTTCGCATTTGCGAACCCCTGTTCGTAATTCCTACATCTGAGACCTGCAATATGCTTAACCGATTTTAAACCCCATTTTTCATATTTTCTCAAACCCAAACACACTTAGGCAACTTCTCAAGAATCCTTTCTTCTCCAAATCAATTGTAAGTCGCTTTTAACCAACTTTCTTCAATTCTTATCATCTTTTAACATGATTTCAACTTGAAATCAAGGTTTTTCATGGGAAAAATTTGGTATTTTGGGTAGAACCTAGGTTTTTCGAAAATTGGGGATTTGGACCTCGATTTGAGGTCCGATTTTAAAACAAATTATATATTTGAGTTCGTGGGGGAATGGGTGATCGGGTTTTGGTTCGAACTTCGGGTTTTGACCACGTGGGCCCGGGAGCGATTTTTGACTTTTGGCAAAACTTTGAAAAATTTATTTTCATGCATTCAAATTGATTCAATTAGCGTTTATTGATGTAATTAAGTAATTTGTGACTAGATACGAGAGAATTGGCGGTGGAATCAAGGGGTATAGCTATAATTGAAACTTGAATTGTGTTTGTGGCATCGAGGTAAGTGTTTGGTCTAACCTTAGCTTGAGGGATTAGGAGTCAAGTCATATTTGCTATGTGATGAATGTTGAGTATGACGTATAGGCATGGTGACGAGTATCTATACGTCGGAGTCAAGCATGCCCGTGGGTCTTATATTGTGATTTTCATGACTTCGTTGTATTATCTATGCTTAGAGGTGATTTTTTTTATTTGTTGTGACAAGTTTGTGGAAGTAATTGTGAACTTTGAATATTAAGGAGCATTGGCTCAAGCTATATTACGAATTGTGAAAGTATATGAGTTGATTGAACCCTTTGGAGCATTGACTCAAGTGGTAAGTGAGTTGTGAAGTAAAAGTGAAAAAAAGAAAGAAGTTATTGTGTTGATACCCTTGCCGGGTTATTATTGATTTATCGGTTATCTCCCTTGCCGGGATGTGGATATTATTAATGATGTTCCCTTGCCGGGATTTTAGTGTTTAATTGTTGTTCCCTTGCCGGGAGTTCTATTATAATCTTGTTTATTCCCTTGCCCCATTGTTTGTGATTGTTGTTTGGGTAAGGAAGAGTGTTAAAGCACGAGGGGTGATGCCGTGCATGATTGTGAGGAAAGAGTGTAAAGCACGAAGGGTGATGCCGTGCCACACGATGTACCATTCCGTACCGATTCTATTGATTATATGGTGAGGAAAGAGAGTAAAAGCACGAAGGGTATTGCCGTGCACGTTTTATTATATAATTGCTTTGGTGAGGAGGAGAGTAAAAGCACGAAGGGTGATGCCGTGCACTTATTGATTTCTGATCCTTTATTGATGTCTGAGTTATGTTGTTTCCTTCGTTTCTTGATGACTTTTACTCGGAATTGTTATCTTCCCCACAGCATGCTCCCCCTCCCATATTGATTGGTTATCTTTGTATCCCTTTTCCGCTGTATATATTTGAACCACACATGTTTATGTGGTAGTTTGGTCTAGCCTCGTCACTACCTCGTCGAGGTTAGGCTAGGCACTTACCAGCACATGGGGTCGGTTGTGCTGATGCTACACTCTGCACTTATGTGCAGATACTGGAGCAGTGTTTGGTCAGTAGCAGTAGTTCGGGAGCCAGCCTTCAGTTCACCGAGACACCGAGGTAGCCTTGCAGGCGTCCGCGGGCCCGGCGTCTCCTCTATCCCTTGTTATGTTCTGTTATCACTTGTATTCGAGACAGACAGTATTACTTTCTTTCAAACGGTTGTATGTAGTAAATATTAGTAGTCCGTGAGTGTTGTGACACCAGTTCTTGGGTAGAGGCATATGTTGGCTTCCGTATTGTTTGGCTTATTTGGTCTAAGTCTTCCGCTTTAATCTCATATCCCGTTGTTATTTAAATGTTTATCGCTTGTTGTTATGAATTATAAAAAGGATTAAAATAAAAGAGTTAAGAATTTAAAATTTCGTGGCTTGCCTAGCTTCTACAAGTAGGCACCATCCCGACTCCCGAGGGTGAGAAATATGGGTCGTGACAAAAGTACAACACTACTACGGAGCCCAATTCCTACAGCAAGCCTCTTGTATGTCCTTAGTTGAGTTGTAACTTTGTAATTGTTCTTCATTGTAATTCATACTCTGCTTATCTAGAAGCTTTAATTAGGAACCCCTTGTAAATCATAAACCTTCAGTGTTTGTGTCGTGACTAGAGTTAGTCATGAGTTGAAGTCTTTGTAATAAGTGTATTGCAAAGTGGCTTGTAATAGGTGTATTACAAGTTAGCGGGGGATTAAGAGTTTAATTCCTAGATTGCACAGGTTGTAATTTAAAGTTTGCTCATAGTGAAGTTGAAATCCTACCAGTGTAGGTCGTAAATTTTTTATCCCTTTGAGCAGGGATTTTTCCACGTAAAAGTTCCCTGTTCCATTTACTTACTATTGCATTAGCGTTATCTGTGGAAACCTATGTAGGGCCTGGTCTCTATATAGTTTGGTGGACTCATATATTCTATCAATTGGTATCAGAGCGGGTTCTTTCTATCAGGTTAACACCTAGAAAGGATCTCATGGCTGCTCCACCAAATTTCGAAGAGGGTCAGTCTACTTACAGACCACTCAAGTTCAATGGCCAATACTATGGGTGGTGGAAGACAAGAATGCATGACTTTATCATGGCAGAAGATTCCGAGTTGTGGGATGTTATTTGTGATGGCCCTTATGTCTCAACAAAGAAAGTCGGAGACCCTACTGAGATAGTGCCTAAGACGAGGAAAGAATACAACGATGGAGATAGGAAAGCTGTGGAGAAAAACTTTCGTGCCAAGAAAATGTTGGTGTGTAGCATAGGACCTGATGAATACAACAGGATCTCAGCCTGTCAATCCACCAAGGAGATATGGGAAGCCTTACAAACGATACACGAAGGAACCACTCAAGTAAAGCAGTCTAAAATTGATATGCTCACCACTGAGTATGAACTCTTTAGAATGAAGGATGATGAATCCATTCAAGATATGCACACTCGATTCACTTCTATCATAAATGAGTTACACTCGCTTGGTGAAATCATTCCAAGGAACAAGCTCGTGAGGAAGATTCTTAGTGTTCTTCCCAGCTCCTAGGAGAGTAAAGTGAACAGCCATTACTGAAGCAAAGGATTTGCAAGCGCTGACCATAGATGAGCTAGTTGGAAATCTGAAAACCTACGAAATGAAGAAGAAGAAGGATAGTGAAAGAAGAGAACCAAAGAAGGAAAAGAACCTGGTACTCAAGGCTGAAAGCAATGACTCAAGCGAGGAGGACAGTGACATGGCTTACTTAACCAGAAGGTTCCAGAAAATGATTCGAAGGAATGGAGGCATACCAAAGAGAGGTAGTTCCAGCAAACCAACTACAACATAAAGCATTTATAGCTACAAAATACAACGTAGCTAATTATGAAAAATTCCGTGGCTAAACACTTTAGCTATAATATTTTCTTTCGTAGCATTCGTAGCAAAATGTAGCGTAGCTAAAAGTTAGCTACAAACTTTACATGGTCCGTGGCTAAGGATTAATACTTATTGCTACGAATTTTTTGTGTTGTAGCTATATTTATAGCAAATAAGTTTATACTCTTGCCACAATAAATATATTTATAGCAAATAATTTATACTCTTGCCACGATAAATAAATCGGTAGCTATCTTTATATGGTAGTTACAAAGTGTTATAGCGTGGCAAAAGATTTAAATTTATTTGCCACGAAAATTTAGATATGTAACTGCTTATATATTAGTCCGTGGCAAAAATATTTTTGTGTAGCTACGGACAAAAAGTTCCATGGCTAAAAATCATACAAAAAAGTCGTGGTTAGATTATTTTTTACAAAAAAATTGATTTATCATAGTTACAAAAGTTTCTCTCACAAATGCCCTGTTTCTTAGCTATTTGATTTTTTTTCTAAAAATTTTCAATTATTCTGTGGCCGTGCATATTATATCAAAATTAATGACTTATTAAGCTTGAGTAATAACTAACTCTGCAAAAAATTGACATTTAAAAAATTTCACAAAATAAATTCCAAAATACATGTACTAATCACTTAATAGTATCTGACATTTTGAAGAAAAGAACTAGCCAATGCGAAGCTTAATTATAACAGAGATCAGAAATATGTACAGAATTTCACATTAAATGAACATAAGTAATTTCTTGATGATTCATATTGCCACCGCATCTTCGATCTTCATGCATCCAAAAATATATGAAGCACTCTTCGTAATCACTAAACTGAAAATAATGAAATGACATGATTTTGTGAGAAACTTATATTTGAATTATTAAAACACATAAAGACGCATTTACAGTTTGTAATTCAAAAAAAAAAAAATCAATGAATCATGGAATGAGAAGAAAAAAATTTTCTACACAAAAGACAGGAGAAAGCATTTAAAGAAACATCTGAAAACTTAAGGAGATCGAAAAAAGAAGTAAAACGTACAGTTTGGCATTAGAGGGACTGCAATTTCTCAAAGGCACTTTTCTCTTGAGCACCCTATAAATAAAAAACAAACAATTGAAGCAGAAATCCAAGTCAATTAGGTGTAAGGCACAAAACTTATCAAATCTTCAAAAATCGCACTCACTACTTATAAAAATAAAGTATAATATCTATCAAATTGCTGAAATAACTCGAAAAATTAAACTTGAAAATTCAAACCCAAGTAGGTGTAAAGAGATTCAAAAACCTATGATATAAAGACATGAACTTACCTGGAAAGAGACAACCAACAAGTTAAAAATTTTGTTCATAAATAGAGAAGCAGTGTATGTACCCTGTTATTCCTCTTTGTCTTTCTTGCAGTGATTTAAGGCTTGACAATTAAGGTGGAAGAAAGAAATAAGAAAATAGGAAAAGTGGCGGCTGAGGGTGAGGACATAGGTTTTGGTTTGGAGGGTTTTAAGTTTGCCGTTCCTTCTCTTATATAGATGCTCTATTTTACTTGTTAATTCAAAAACCATACCTGTAAGGGGAGAAAATAAAAACACCATAAATGTAAATAAAAGTTAGAAAATTACCTATAATAAACCAAAAGAATAAATATATTATATTTAGTTAAAATTATAAAATCAACAATTTGCATGTGACGACCCGGCCGGTCACCTCATGAGTTACCGCTCCGTTTCCCCTATTTCTGCTTCTTTATGCTTCGTTATCCGTTTTTGTGGTATCGGGTTGGTCAGATCGAGTCTGGAATGATTTTGGTAAGGTTTGAGACACTTAGTCTCTTTTAAGAAGGTTTAAGTTGGAAAAGTCAACCGGATGTTGACTTATGTGTTAGAGGGCTCGGATGTGAGTTCCGATGGTTCGGTTAGTTTCGGGAGGTGATTTGTGACTTAGGAGCGTGATCCGAATGAGTTTTGGAGGTCCGGAGTAGAATTAGGCTTGAATTGCTGAAGTTGATATTTTGGCGATTTCCGGTTGGTAGGTGAGATTTTGATCCGAGGGTCGGAATGGAATTCCGAGAGTTGCAGTAGCTTAGTTATGTGTGACGACCCGACTCGTCGTCTCATGAGTTACCGCTTCGTTTCCCCCATTTTATGCTTCTTCATGTTTCATTATCAGTATTTGGTGTGTTAGAGTTGATTTGGATTGGTTTTGGTAGAAATGAGACACTTAGTCTCTTTAAGGAAGGCTTATTTTGGAAAATTCAATCGGATGTTGACTTATGAGTTATAGGGCTCGGATGTGATTTCCGGTGATTCGGTTAGCTTCAGGGGATGATTTGTGACTTAGGAGTGTGATCGGAATTGATTTTGGAGGTACGATGTAGAATTAGGCTTGAATTGGCGAAGTTAGTATTTTGGCGAATTCCGGTTGGTAGGTGAGATTGTGATCCAGTGGTCGGAATGGAATTTCGAGAGTTGTTGTAGGTTCGTTAGGTGATTTTGGATGTGGTGCAAAATTTCAGGTCATTCGGAGGTGTTTTGGTCGGGTTTTTGATCGAATGCGCCATTCGGAAGTTTTTGAAGAACTTAGGCTTCAATTCGATGTAATTTGATGAATTTGGTGTTAGTTGAGGTGTTTTGATGATTGGAGCAAGTTTGAATAATGTTTTAAGATGTGTTGGTACTTTTGGTTGAGGTCCCGGGGGCCTCGGGGTGATTTCGGATGGCTAACGGGATGAAATTTGGAGTTTAAGGGCTGCTGAATGGTTTGGTATCTGGTATTTCCGCTTTTGCGGAAATGGACCGCAGAAGCGGTTCCGCAGAAGCGTATGGGGAGTCGCAGAAGCGAGGTTGGGTATTTTAGAAGGATTTCCGCAGAAGCGGACCATTTCCCGCATAAGCGGCTTCCGCAGAAGCAGTTAGTGACTGCAAAAGCGGTCCAAGGCAATAAGTGAAGTTCCGCAGAAGCGGAGCAATTTCCGCAAAAGCGGGTGCGCAGAAGCGAGCTGGTTATCGCAGAAGTGAAAAGGCCTGTTCAGAGGTAATTAAAATTCTATCTTCGCGAATTTTTGAAAAGAGAACCTAATATTTTCACTTCGACTTGGAGGTTTTGTGCGGTTTTGGAGAGGGAATCAAGGGACTTCATTGAGGTAAGGAATTCTAAACCTAAAACGTAAATCTAATGTGTTATTGCATGAATTAAAGGGTGAAAAATCAAGTAAATAGAGGTCAAAAATGGAGGTTAGGGCTTGAACTTAAGAGAATGAAAAATTTGGGATTTGAGGGAGCATTGAGCTCGGATTTTGGTAAATATTTGATATGTATATGACTGCGGCGAGATGAGGAATCAAATTGATGTGATTATAAATTTTTCGAGAAAGTGGGCCCGGGGCTCGGATTTTGCTAGTTCGAGATCTTTGCTATTTTTTCGATGTTTTCGATTGGGTATTGTTCCCTTAGCATATTGTGATGTATTCGCTCTGATTTTGGTTAGATCGACGGCGTGAGGAATATTTGAGGGGCGCAAAGGCGTCGCGAGCTAGAGATTTCACCGGTTCAAAGGTGAGTAATGACTTGTTAAATGATAGTCTGAGGGTTTGAAACCCCGGATGTGCACATCATAGTGCTGTATTGAGGTGACTTGCACGCCGGATAGCGAGCATGGGGTAGAGCACCGTTGTGGAATTGTGACTTGGTCCGTCCGATTGATGAAATTACTACGTATTTGACTGAAACTACTTGTTATCATCATAATTTGGGTTGATTTCCATGCTTGGGTTTCGTGCCAAATATGTGAATCCTTTAGGGATTGATATCACTGTTTTCGCATTACTTTGCAATATTATTGGATCTCGGTCCAGGGTTTAATATTGTTTTTGCAAACTCAGCCATTTTTTTCTAAGATTTGAAAAACTTAAACAATATTTATTGACGTTTTGGAGCTGAGAACCATTATTTTAATATGCCCAAGTGGCTTATGTGCATTTCTGGACTGAGCATGGATCGGGTTGCGCGCCCAGCAGTTTTATAGTGATTTCTGGTTAATATGTGGCTCGGGTTGCGCGCCGCAGCGGTATGTATTGATATTGAGGCCCGAGGGCCTGGTTGGTGCCACGAGATGGCTTGATTATTTGCGCTTGGGCTGTAAGGAATCCCCTCCGGAGTCTGTAACACACCCCCAGTGAGAGCCGTCGACGTTAAATATGATGGATGGCTTCGGGCTGCACGCCGCAGTGGGTACCGGAGTGTACCGTCATATGCATTGCATTGCACTCATGCATTTGTTCCTATTTGTATTATTTGTCATGATATTCCAGCACTCGCATTTCATTGCTTCCATGCTATTCCTTGCACTGTTTACCTGGTAACCCTGGTGTTACTTGTTTAATGGATTGATGTGCCCCGAGGGGCTGACTTATGTGCTTCTTGCACTATCTGTTTCGCATTCATTTGCTTAACTGTGTGGACAAAAGACATTTTCGAGAGAGGTTTTTAAACTGAGCCCAGATATTTCTAAAGATTATACGATTTCACTGTTTTCTAAAAGAGTTACACTTATTCTATATAGCATTATGGCTTTGCTTTACATGGTTTCTTGCTGCTCAGTTTATTATTTACCTTTATTACTCACTAAGTTAGAGTACGTCACTTTTACTCCCGCGCACTTCGCGCTGCAGATGCAGGTATTGGTTTTACCCGTGTAGCGGGTTTGAGCTGGTTGAGGATTGCTATCGTAGCTGAGCAAGGTGACCGCCAGCGTTCGCCGCGGCACCGGATTTCTTCCTTTTGATTCCAGATTGTATTCTATGTATTACAGGCTTTGTAGTTGTATCAAAGATCCTTCTAGATGCTCGTGACTTGTGACACCCCGATTTCGGGCTGAGTCGGGATGGGGTTCTCTATTTTATCACTTTATTCCGCAATATGATCCTCATTATCTATGATTCAGACTTATTCATGCTAAGTAACTGTTAAAAGAGGCGTTGTTGTTCTGTTGGCTGGCCTTGTCTTCACGAGAGGCGGCCATCACGACCGGGTTTTGGAATTGGGTCGTGACATATGTCATTTGGGATGTGTGTGCAAAATTTTCAGGCTCATTCGGGTACTGGTTTGGTTGGGTTTTTTGATCGAAAGCGTATTTTCGGAAGATTTTCGAAACTTAGGCTTGAATCTGATGCGTTTTGAGTAATTCGATTGTGTTGAGGTGTTTTGATGATTGGATAAAAGTTGAATAAGGTTTTAGATTTGTAAGTGCCATTGGTTAGTTTCCCGGGGGCCCGGGTGAGTTTCGGGTGGCTCAATCGACTATTTGGAGTGGGAAAAGTGTCACGACCCAATTCCCGAACCCGCCGTTGATGGTGCCTCTCGTGAGACAGGCCAGCCAGAACAACGCATAATACCTTCTTTTTTTAAACAATTAATTAACATTTCACAAATCTATACATGTTTAAGATAGCCATAATGCGGAAACAACGATAATAACCAGGGAAACCATCCCGATACAGCCAAACCCGGGTGTCACAAGTCAATGAGCTACTAAGAGTTTGCTATAGAGTCTACAAAGTATGAAATCCGATACAATAGTCCGAAGAAAACATAAAATGATAGAGGATAGGGAGACAAGGGGCTGTGGAGTCAATAGCTACCTCGTAAACTCCAATATCGCGCTGGTCTGGAAGGAATCAGCGCTCAGGTGCGGACTCTGCTATGCCTGAATCTGCACACATGGTGCAGGGAGTAATGTGAGTACTCCGACCCAGTGAGTAATAACAATAAATAATGGCTGAAAGCATGAAAAACACATAAATGCACAAGGCAATTCTATATCAGGCAGTAAATCACTTAAAGTAGTTAAAACCGTAAAGAATCAAATGAAATCTCCTTTTAAAAAATAGGTAAATCAGGTAAAACAACAAGTAAATAGTGAGTAGTAATCTGCCCCTCGGCCCCAGTATCAATTCCTCAGAACAGTATCAGCCCCTCGGGCTCAGTATCATTCACTCAGCATAGTATCAGCCCCTCGGGCTCACTCTCAGTCAACTCAGCAAGTATCAGCCCCTCGGGCTCATTCTCAGATCATATGGGTGCCGCGCTAACTGTGGGTGTGCAGACTACGGAGGGGCCCCTTACGGCCAAGCGCTATATCAAGCCACCTCGTGCATCATCACTCGACACTCGGACTCACATCACTCGGCCTCCATCACTCAAGCCACCTCGTGCATATAAAGCATCGCATATCACTCAGCATACCTCACATATGACCCTCGGCCTCACTCAGTCCAGATATCATCACAAGCTCCCTCGGGCATCAGTAAAACACGTAGTGCTCAGCCAAACAACATTGAAATATCATTTAAATCTCAAAATTCAATTAAAAGTGGCTGAGTTTGTAAACAGTATTAATCAACAGGACTGGTTCAAGTAAATATATATATATATCAAAATAGTGAGGAAACGTGATAAAAGTCCACGAAGGATTCAAGTAGTCGGCAT